GATGACTAGAGCTAGGATTCTGGTGACTTTTGCATTTTTTTTTCTCTAAGTGCTATACAATTCTAACCAAAAACTAAATTTGTTTCGTAATATAATAATTTAGAATATGTAATTTTTATTTTGCATTTTTAAGGTCATTTTTGCGTAATATTACGTTCATTTTGTGTATTTAAACTAATTTTTGTTTATTTTAAGATTTTTTAATATGTGCTGTATAGGTAATCCCAATTAGTACCTATAGGCAATTACCTACTCCAGTCCATTGATATTGAAAAAGTAGTATAATTAATTGTTGATTTATTCGATAAGATTAAATATGGAATGAACCCATAGGCCATAACTATATTTAGGTATACAATAGTAGCTTTAGTAGTGAATTCGACACGTACCTATGTGGTTCTACCGATCTTAACTGTACAAAATGTCAACAATTAAGTCAACAATAATAAACCGTTTACGCAGTTTTGTGAGCGAGTTTAGTGTCGATATTTTTTCTGCGGGTGGTATGGTGCTTTTTTGTAAAGTTTGTAATGTTGCAGTTGCATCCGAAAAGAAATTTACAATTCAACAACACATCAGTCGACATAAGCATGCTCGTGGAATTCAACGAAAACTGAATGAAGTGAAACAAAATAATCAAGTACTACTATCTAATCTAACAAATAAATGAAATAATAGTGATCAATCGTCATTTAATCTAGAGCTTAGTGAAACAATATTTATAGAAATTTAGCGACATTTTTTCGCTCATCAAAGTATATATTTTGGCCATTTTGTTCATTTTTTATAGTTTTAGGTCATTTTTGCATTTTCTTTAGTGCATTTTCGTGTATTTTTTAGGTCATTAAAATCCTAGCTCTAATGATGACATATGTTATTTGTTTTGATATCATAAAATTTAGTGATATTGCGATTAAAAAATGTTCAGTTAAATGAAAAAAGGGGAATATAGGTAGGCACTTAGATGCACAATAGGCGTCAAGTGTGCCTGAATATAATAAAATACGTAAAACTTTAAAGTAGCTATGAATAATATATTTTTGAATTAACCAAAACAATTAAAATCGTTCTTCTTTATTTAGAATTTAAATATCTAATTTCGTCCAAATTTAAATTTGAAATAACTATAAAAAAAAATTGTATTCAAATATTTTTTGGTAATTATAGTATGTTCGTACTATGAGGTACCTTGCATTTTACAATTTTAGGTCTTAACTATACAAATTGAAGATTTTATACATTTTTACTTCAGAATTATTTACAAATTTTTGTAGCTTAGATTTTTGTCAACATTTATATTGATGCCCATATCAGTTGAAAGTTACCTACAATAAGTTTTTATACATTTTTTTTTGTTTCGTTATCCTTTTTTATATACATTTCAAATTGACACCAAATTGAAAATTTTATGATCAAATATTTAAATTAAAAAAAAAGGTTGTTTGGCTACAGGTAATTAAAATTTTATTTTATTTAATTATATATCAATATTAATCATAATTTGTCTACATGCAATTTAACTGAACGCCTATTCGAAGACATTGACAAATAAACAACGTCATCAATTTTTAAACAAAATCAGACTTATACAAACTTATTTCGAAATATAATTAAGAAAAAAATGTAAACACACTTAACACTAATAAGTAATAACCATATTGTTATTGAAACAAATAGATCAATAAAAAAAAAAATTGTCTATGACTGGATGTTACTATATTACATTAGTGTAGACCTGCACTATCTACTTTTAATTCAAAATGCAAAAAGTAACTTTTTAGTTTTTATGTTTTTTTATTTTGAATAAATAATTATATACTAATGATACCTGGTACTTAATACATAATGTATTATTTAAAGTTATTAAAAATAGAAAGCGTAATAAAGGTATGGCTTTATCCTAAACGTTTTTAGTTATCATACATATAGGTACCTAGCCATATTATAGGGATCACAAATCGCCTCTCATTTGACCCTCACATTGCCTCCCATGGAATTTTTTTTTTAAATTACTCGAATTGTCTCCCGATTTCAAAACATCAATAAACAACATAAATATGTAATATCATAACAAGAAACCTAACTTAAACATTTTAAATAGATTTCGATATCAAACACGTATATTTGTTGAATTATTACGAGTTACGACTATATTATGTTTATTACAATTAAATTTCCACAATGAATTGGAAGGATTTGGGTGTTCATTGAATTATTAATTACAGCCATTCTTAAATTGAAAACATTTTGTAGGTGGTATTAGACATTAGTGTAATTAACTGTAAAATACCCAGTTTATGTTAGACAGGTTCTTAGTGTTCTTACGAGTGAGAGGGAGTGAAGGGATTATGGATATTTAATTATACTTAATTAAATCAATGTACTATGAATGTAGGTAATGTTCTAACATTTAAAGCGCCATCGTAAAATCTTAACAATGGCTAAACGAAATTACTCATCTTAGGTTTCCCAAGTATAAAATTTTAAAGTAAATAGGTATTCAGTTTTTCAATATGAGGGATAGGTACTGATCTCGAGATGCTACATTAAAACTATTAAAAAGTTGATTCAACAAGTTGTTATATTCATATTATATTATTATGTTGTATTATCATATTCTCTATTTATTTGAATTAAACGGTTAGATAAATAAGTAATAACCCGATTACATTCACAAGTAGTTGATTCTATAGTGTTACAAGCCGTATGATTCGTTATAGAATAACACTCTGCTGTATAAAATGTATAAAATATAGAGAATCTTGTTTTACATTTTCAAGTTTTTTGATGGGCAAAAATGTATTAATTAAAATTTATAGAAAAAAAAACAAATAAATTAGAAAATGTAAAATATTTAGCTAGCTTAAAAGGAGTCTAAATATTTTGGATATTTCATTGTAATTAGAAAAAAATAATTAAAGTAGCAAAATAATGTAAGAGAACGCTACATTAGCACACGTAAGGTGGAGACAACAAACTCATGGGTAGCGTACTCTTAAGTTTCTGCGATTAATATTTTTCGAATAATAAAAATAATGGTTTGAAGATATATTCAATTCAATGTCTTCAAAACTTCAATTGCTCATAAAAAATGTATAGGCAATGACAAACTTTATTTTAAAATTTATATTTAAAAAAAACACATGAGAAATCTCGTATTAAACTTTCAAGCCATAAATGTTAAAACTTATTTTTTTTATTAAATTATACTTTATGCTTTCATAATTTTGACGAATTTTGTAAGGTATTTTTATAATAAACGTTCATAAAAATACAATTGACGTTAGCCAGGCCTAACTGTTAAATCTTAACCTAACTTCTAATTGTAGTCCTTGGCTATACGCCACTTATTTACTATATATGGATATATGGACGATAAACCTATGAAGAAGTGAACTAACGGTCAATCTAACTATAATAATTTTAGTACAAATCTTAACCACAAATTTAATAATTGTCTGACAAATCACATGGGTATAGTTACACCTTACACCTTATATTATACAATTATAAATTAGTATCTACATATTTTAAGCTTATAATTAATTAGGTACTTAATAACTAAGTAATAAGTTATTACTAATAACTAAACTAGGTAATTTTGTACCTAGTAAATTTATTAAATATTAAAATTATTGATTTTATTTGTTTTGTGTATGAAATCAATAACTAAGACACATTGACACAAATTATTTGATTTCTATTCTTGTATAATATAATAAGTATATTATACTCTGCCACTCTGGTACTTCGGGAGTCATAAGTCATAAATTATAAACAAGATTTAAAAAAATGTCAATATAAATATTCCTAAATTAAAAATAAATTTTTCGGGATCATATTAGGTGTTTATAAGTTGTTGTGTTAAATTTATAATAATTAATCCTTAAGACTTTTATAATCCCAATATTTTCAAACAACTTGTTAATGATACTATTAAAAATAAATTGTAAGCAAGTGCATACTATACCTACATAAAAGGATAATTTCCACTATTGTTACGATTTTTATAGTATACATTTTATTAATTTAATTTTCAATAGTTGTTATGAACCGTTATTACTTTAAATGTAACTTCAATTTTTTAAGCATGTTTTAGAAATGTTATAAGTTATTAGAACTCTCATTTCCTCTCTCAGCCGAGCCATTGGCTTATCAGCTCTCTTTAGTTTTAACGATTTTTTTTTTAATGTAATATTTTTGCAGTTGGAATTTATTCTATAAATAAATAAAAATAAATGTAGGAAATACTGCCATTTAAATATTAGCCATTTGATGAATGAATAATAACTTCTAGGTAGCATAACACATTTATATATATATAAGTAATAGGTTAGGTTATTATCTATAGGTAGTATTATAACATTTACAATAATTTGTGTGGGTATTTTATTTTAATTTCAAGATAATATGCACCAAGTTCATAATTAAAAGTATAAAATGTAAGTTTTATTACAATGATTTTTAATTTTAGTTTATTTTGTACCTCATATTTACTTATACATACAAATTTTCTTTGCCAGAAAATGATAGGTACCTTTTCAAATTAATAAGATGGTGACATTTTTTGTTTTGATAATGGTGGAAAATGGCTACGACCTACCTACGACGCAATTAGGTATAATATATGTCCTCACTCCTAAATCATCCAAATATTATAAGTATATTATGTTATCTTTGTGTCAAGCGAATATGAGCTTAATTTTTCTTGCCAACCGGATTCTCATACAGTCATACCCCACCCAATAATACCGTTATGGTGTTATCGGCTACAGCAGATCCAGTTACTTAGTAAATATATATTTATAGATACACGATACACCTATCATTTATACAACATAATTGATAAATAAACAATAATTGAAAATTATTAGTTTTTAGAATTTCTAAACAAGCCATTAACAATTAACATATTATATAAGGTATAACTGGTATAAGCCACTTCGGGAGCTGGTGAAAAACTTACCTATATAATTCGCCAAAACAAAAAGTATTGATTTGCATGTATTATTCTTAAAATAAATAATATACAAAAAAAAAATTTTCAAATCAATCGGACAAATACATTGGGGATGGGCGGGTGGCGGAGCGATGTCGGCCTAAGAATTTTGTTTTATAAATAATATATAGAATGTATACCTATATAAATTCTTCAGTTAATTTGGATGTAGAGAGTAAGTACATAGACAGGAGAAAATAACTATCTTAAACTTGCGCCCGTAACATATATCACAAACAAAAACAAAGACATAGAAAAGATTTAAAGATACCTAAATTATTTTAAAATTTAAATGAAGTAGCAAGTGTGTAATAGATTCATATTACAATTGTTTTTCATTTATTGGATATCTTTGTAAATAAATTATCATTATATGCTCGTATACTGTTCCCACAAACACTTACGTGAAGGCTTTGATAAATGCATGTAGATACTCGCTTAATATTATAGTACAATAGGTAACAATTATAATTTAGCTAATTCAAAAACTATATGAGTACCTACAGAAGCCCGTTACCTAACTGCTAATTTAGCTATATAGGCAACAACACGTTCTATTGACACACTTGTTAATAATTATATTATTCTTACGTGTAGGAAACTAAAGGTACTTAATAAATAAATAGAATATACACTAAGCAACACCTACACAATGTCATATTAATGATTGTGTATACATTTATTCACTTCCCTATAACAATAAGAGCCTACAAAGGCTTTACAATTTAAGACGATTTTTGTCACCATATTGGCTACCTCCCTGGAAATATGATTTATAATTTATAAAGCTTTTACCTGCTATCTCAATATTATTTTATAATTAATCAATTAAAAATGTTCTAGCTAAACTCCAAAGTAATTGCCCACTCCCCTCAAAATGCGCCGCTATATATTATTATCATTTATTATATTTAATAGTAGGGACTTATAAGTACCTACACCCACCCAATATAGAATAATTTAATATTTTATTAAAATATGATAAATAATATTTATGCTAAATGAAAACCGAATTTCGAACAGAAATGTAAGCAAGATCACGTTTGTTGATATCATACTATTTGCATCACCGGGACGAATTGAGTTTAATCATTTTCGCGCAGTCATAATGTTTTTTCGAGCAATGCTTCGCGTTCCCTTTGACTTGCTGCCAGTCGGACACATTCCATGCCACCCACTCGTGGGTCGGATTGCGACTACTCTCCTTAACCCGGCGCTGCATGTAGTGTATGATTGGCGACAAGCGACAAAGCAGCATCTGAACACACGACATGCCCGACGGCAACTGTTCGATCAATAGGTCTGGTAACGTTTCGTCGGTTGCATCGTCCATCATCGATTTTATCTGAATCGAGGAAAAAAATGTATATAATATTACAATAATAGGTAAACCACATAAAGGCACAACTGGAGACCGATATGCTAAAATTACGAAATTCTCTAATAGCTGACCAGCTGTGAGACAAAGCTCCAAACTCAGAAGTATTTGTCCGTATAATAAACTATTACACAACTAACCAAAAATTTGAAACCTTTTGGACTACTAGAGAATTAATTTACTAGGTTGAGTAGGTTTTATTTTGTACATGTGCAATATAATTAGGTGTAATTATAGTGTTCACTGTTACATACATATGGATTATTCATGATCCAGTCGATCGGACGGCCATTGGGAAAGATCTTAGTCTTTTGGCTAGCACCTCTGTAATTGGCTGTTCCGTAATCAGAAACAGTTAAAATCTAAATAAGGATTATACAGTGTCACAGTGATATATGTCATATGAATATTTATATTTGTACAAGACATTATTGTCATTCCATAAGGCTTACAGATAACTTACAGTTTTCGTCAGAAGTACCAATCCGTTTACTATAAGAGTTTTTAGAGCACTGGTGCCTTGTCCGATAACACCCGACGCCGCACGAATCAACAGCGTTAACATGTTAGATTTTGTTTCGACTTTATCATTGACAATTGATCGACCTACTAGGTCGGCCACGAGTACAGACATTTTTTTCCAATCTTGACATTTATCTACGTTTCTATTCGAAGACACACATTGAAGTTCGCTGACTGTACATTTGAGGATAATTGATAAGACACATATTTTTAATAACAATTGCATTATATATTCTTGTAATTTCTTTAGTATTTATTTCATAAAAAATAAATTAAATTATGTATTCGAAAATTATATTATAATTTTAAAAAACAGAACTCCTCTGCCAAGACGTCAATGCATAAATGAGATACATTGTTGTACATTTCCAGCTAATTGTAACATCCAATTATTCAAATCACCAAACCATATGAACAGTTACAATTTACTTCTTAACATTGTGAACTATGATGTTCATAACACTATTTGACAGTTATAAAAATATTTACAAATCATTTTTACACTGTTTTTGGGTTTGCCGACCATAATAATTTTTATATTAATAAAATACTTTCATTCATAAAATTCATTGTAAATTAATGTTAATAAAATATTTTATTGTATATATTTAACATAGATTCAAATATAATGTAAAATAAGTGATTTAAAGCAATACAGTCTTATTAAACTAATTAAAGTACAATGGCAGTATGGCACAATTTCAAAATGGACGGATTTTAACATTTTTACCACGGTTTTTAACTAAAATTTACTGCTATTTACTTATAAAATTGTCTATCCAGTTGTGGACTATAAATCATCACAGACACATTTATTTATACTTCATATTCAACCAAAAAACAGTTAACAATACTTTTAACCAGAAAATTGATACAAAATAAGTAATAAAGCAATACACACTTGCTTAATCATAACATAATTAGGTATAAAAAATAACTTAAAACTATTAACTCTAAATAATGGCATAATACAATAAATGTTTCAAATAACCAACACTGAATACATACAAAAACATTATATTCATTGGTATACTTATAATCAAACTTAAAATATATATTTTTATGTTTTTAACAAATTGTAAAAGTATCAAGTATGATATAATTTAAGATCTTGTTGCTCTAAAATACAATTAGTTATATCATAAATTGTTATTGCTTTTATACTTGCTTTCTATAATTTTGATTCAACAATAAAATATCACATTAATATTATTTCTAGACAACTTAAGTTTTTGATTCTACAAAATTACTATTTTTCATCAAGAGTGTAACACCAATATGTAAAACATGTATAAGATATGCACTATCTCGTTAGAATAATAGTTTCTCTGAAGAAAATTTTACATTTAATATAAAATAGTGGCAAGAACTCCATATTTAAGTTAATATTTTCAATTAATAAAACTATCATAGACTATGAAAAACATACAGATACAACTTTTGTTTTAGTCTTTAAAGACATTTTAAGTTCTTTAGTCAAAGTTCATTTACACTTCTTGTGTATTTTTAGATATAGTAAAATCTTAATATCACAAATTGTGTCAAGATGAATTTTGATGTCTTAAATAACAATAAGTCCTTAAAAAAATCTCTTAAAATGTAATTAGGAAAGGATACAGTAGCTCAATTCAAACCTTATTTTTGTTGATATATTTCATCCATTAATTTCAACCACCGTTATATGTATTTAAATATATATATCTAATCATCTAAAATAAAAGGTAGAGCTCATAATCTGCTATTCATTTTATAAGTCATAGTTAGGTTTTATTCAAGCATTTTTGGTGAGAAGAATCTAAGATTTAATCAAGAAATTTTCGGTTATCTGTATTTGAAATAACTTTAGTTTTATACATAATATTTGTACAGATAAACTCAAATCTTATTTTCATTCTTTCAAACAATAAAATGTATGTGGGTGAAAACAGATCAGATTCAAACTGTATAATAATACTATTATAGCAATATATAAGTATTCAATTGTTATTATAAAACTATATTAATTTATCTAAATATTTTATTATTACCAATCCCATTATCCTACAAAATATCACAATTATTGGTTTTGAAAGATCATCGAAGGTATAAGAAGAATAGTCAACAGAAATAAAGTTATGTTCAGCTTACATAATATTATAAGGTTAGAGTACTTATTTGATACTTAAATAATACTTTTTTATAGTAATGAATAATGATCCAACAATATCAGCTGCAATGTATTCACAAACTGGTCATAGCAGGTGGATGAGCATATGCTTTAGGTATGAAACCGTACTTTCTTGTTTTAGGAGCATAAGTCCATAACCACCCTTCGACCATTTGATTGGTAAGATCTGCATATATCCATTCACCACGCTTAACTGACAGATCATCTGGTGCTTGCGGCTACAAAAATTAACCAATTAATAAGAATTTAGTAAAATAAAAAGTTTGAGTTTAAAAATAAATGAATTTAACATACCTTATAATCATAAAGCATTACCATTTCAGTACCATGAATTGCTGGGTCGTCATCAGCCACACAAGAGTTTTTCCGTGGCCGTGCTCGTGTAACCGGAGGTAGTCCAGTATTAGTAGTACCAGCACACTGATTATTATTCATTTGATTTATGTGCCCTGCACAAACATCAAGTTGTTATAATAATATTGCAATACAGGGTATTATAATTTATTAACATAATTAATTTAATATTATGTACCTTGTATTATATCAGCTGGATATACAAATCCACTAGGAACAAAACCTTCTTGTCCATCACTGCGAATAATCCAATACCAATCAGGATCTTCTCTGTTTAATACAGTTACAAATTCTCCTCTCTCGACACTCACATCATTCTCATCTCTTGCTATGAAAGTGTATAACACAATGTAACGTCCTGCAGGGTCCTAAATATTTGTCAAATATAGCATGTCACATTAATTCTTGTATTCTGCAGTAATACTATATTACAAAATATTGTTTTCTTAGACCCTCTAAATGATGAATAATCAAAGACTATTTTTATTCTTAAATAATGTAAATTATATTTATAAATTACTTTGAAAAATGGTCGTATCTCAGGATGTGAAGACGCACTTAATAATGATGCTCTAGAGCTACTAATGTTCTGTTTGTTTTGATTTTTGTGTTCTTGAGTTTTATTGCCAAAACTTTCACAATCAGATAAATCACCACAATTACCTAATAATACAATTAAATAAATATGTTAATAATACATTATGTTTATAGGCAATATTTTAAATGCTAACTAATCTACAAACCATGTTTTTGTTGCTCATTGATTTCAACTTCAACAACAGTTTCAGTTGGCGTAGCAGCTGGTGCACGTGGTAATTTCTTTTTGACATTATTTAAAGCTATTTCACCAAGTTGTGAATTATAAGGTGTACAATACGAATGAGGTATAAAACCTTCTTGACGACTGTCCTCTGCAATTACATATACCCAGTCATTCTCTCGGTATAGGATGTTGACTACCTAGAAAATAATAAATGAATACATTTTATTTAAAGGAAAAATGAAAAAAAAAATAAGTTTATAAGTTTAACTACATAATATTTTAAGTTAAATGTAAAAAAATCATAAATGCGTATTTGTTATTTATGTTTTAATTGCTTAGTTCTTGACAGGAAAATTATAGACAATATAATTTAAGATAAATAAAATACAACTTACATCATAAAGTAATTATGGTTATCAATATTTTAAATACAAATTTTTGTGAAATATTAAATTTGAAAAAAAATTAAACCATTACACTACAAAAATTATAGGTGAAAGAAAACTTTTTAACCGTTTATAAATAAAAATACGTGACTGATAAATTTAATATGATATTTTTATCACATAATTAAACTTAAAAATTTTATTCAAAGAATAATATTTCAAAATCTAAAATGAGTAAGTAGTTGACTAATGAGATCCAGAAAATTTTTGAATTAAAAAAGTACTTAATTACTAAATTGTTATGAGCTACCGCTACCTACCTTCTTCATAAATCAGAAGGGCAGAATAATTAAATTGAGCATTGAGGAACTTAACACTTTTTGACTAATGACTTATAATATGGACTAAATATGTATCATTGTTCCTCAAATATTTTTTATATTTAAAACATTATAAACAACATAATATTAATTGTTTTGAATAGTTCGATATTCTAACCTGGCCTCGTTTCACGGTCAGCTCATCATCTACACACGGTGTGAAATCGTGAAGTACAACCATTTTGCTATCAGGCGACAAACCGTTTTCCTTCTCAATCCCAACACGCACCAGCGTCTCAATAGATGCACTACCAGTAATACGTCCCATACCAGGAACTGGTCCATTAGCGTTGGTTCCTCGTAACACTTCTTTGTCCAAGTCGCTGGTAGAACCACCTGCAAACAGCAATTAAAACACTGTTGAATGATTACAATAAGAAAAATAAACCAAAGTGGAAAGGATTTATTTTGTTGTGAGTGGTGTCGGTTAAAGGGTATGATGGGTTAGGTGTAGCTTTTGAGTGATGATCATACTTTTTTTCTTCTTGCCTCGGCGAATTCTCACGGGACACAGGAAAGCCATTATTGTTTATTGGCCACCGCGCATGCTAGTCGTGTTACTGATCACCTAAGGTGTATATCCGTTTTTCCGGCTCGGGAAAACCATGTAAACACAAAAGGGAACACGCAGCAGAAGCTTAACCAGGCAACTTACTGGACGCTGGTGTCAATTATTTATTGACAATCAATCATCATTATTATTATCCGAAGGCAACGGCGGTGGCGCCGGCGGTCGAACAGGTTTCCGGAATGGTGATAATTATTATTATGACCCAGTGTCAGTGTAGCCATATTTGAAAACCAAATTCCGGACTGATGAGAATAAAGAGCGCTACGGCGTCATCACCAAGATTCGAATTGTATCATCATTCGTCACCGAAGATGAATCAGCTGTGATCATTCCGTCACCCGACCATAGACCTAATACTAGTTTAAGCCGTTTAAGGTCCATGCACCCAACCGATCTTCATAATAGTATGTAATATGTATACTATTTAGATTATGTCAGAATAGATATACCATATACATATAATCATACTAACAAAAAATGTAAACAAACGCACGGACTAAGCTGATAGTCTGCGACAAGCGGCCTCAATTTCTTAATTATATTTGACAGCAAAACCACCGAAATTCCTTAAACGGCTTAAACTATATTCAAATTCATTATTTTTAGAAAACTTTCAGTTGTATTAAATGTTTTTTTTAAATTTTGTTATAAACATTATACATTTGTTTAGAAGTATCGGCTTGGGAGGATGCCGTGGTCCACAGATCACCCTAGAATGAAATTGAGCATACACCCCGATTTAAGATATATCTTGAATCGTGGCCTACACTTCTATCTCTTTCCATTTCTTTATTATCTATAGTTTAATGATTGTATTACACAGACTTTTTAACTACACATTATGGAAATCTGTGTTGTTTTCGTGCCTCGTGGGGAACTGGATCAGTTTAATACTAATAATAATTAGTTATAATTAGTAATTACTCTATGTAGGTACAGGATGCAGCAACTTTACTGGTACTCTACAACTGCTCTTATGGGCGCCCCAAGGACGTTATGAATGTTTTGGCGCCAATTGCATATCAGTAATCCTTGGTGCCTTGGCGTTCCAACGCAACCGATGACGTTGCATCGATCTTATGTTTACGTACACCGTTATCAAAACGTGTCACTACTCACCAGTCACCGAGTGACGAGAACGACCAACATTGCATATATTTACACTGCCAAGTGCCAACACGTCGCTGAGCGACCCCATTCATTCATCATTCGCATTTCACTTCTCGAGCACCCTTCACTGCTGCACTCATCGTGCTCTTAAGTAAACTAAAGTCATTTATAATATCGTCGAATATACTAACTGAGATTTTATTTCGTCCACAGAGATCAACAGAAAAAAAACATGGATCAAGTAACAAAAGTGTTGGAACCCGGACGCCAGTTTTCCAAAGACTCGGTTAGGCTGGTGAAAAGATGCACTAAACCCGACAGGAAAGGTAAACACGATTTGTATTCCATTTGTTTCACTTTTTCATTTACGTAATTTGATTTTGTTTTGCAGAGTTCCAAAAAATCGCAATCGCTACGGCCATCGGTTTTTGCATTATGGGTTTCATTGGTTTCTTTGTCAAACTTATCCACATACCCATCAACAACATCATTGTGTAAGTACTACTTTAACTTAAAATAAATGTTAAGTTATTTTTATATAATTACGGGTTTTTCTAAATCAAGTTAAAAAAAGATCTAATACCAATAACACAGATTGTGATTCGCCTTTTTAGTGTAATCTATTTACTCAGTATTTATATAACATTCGAATACATTCTGCATTTCTATAGTATCATATAGTAAAATAATGTTTTGCATATGGATGACTGCATTTGACATTTGTTGTATCCGTCCTACAAATTTTCATTCTGCACAACCTATTTTATGTTATTATGAATATTACAGTAAACACTAAATTTGAAGGTACAAATATTATTCATGTACACTCCTTGATTTTTCCATATTTTAAATTTAAAGTGAGTTATAAGTACGGAAAATATTGAAAAATTAAAATTTCGACAAATTCTTAAAAAATTATATTTGTACCTTTAATTTTTTCAGGCCAATTTCCTAAAATATTTAAACTGATATCACAAATTTGATTCCAACAAATTTAAATTTATTATACTGTATGTTTGAAAGATGAAACATACATGCATGCATCACATTAATATGCAATATACCTAATAAAATGAAAAAAACATTCATAGGCTACTATTAAGTTATTTTCATGATTTTAGCAATTAAATATTTGCATATTGTTTGCAATAATCAATTGTATAATTATAATTCACTTAACTTATTTGTGCTACAAATTTTGAGAAGCAAAGAATAGTTTCATTTCAATGAAAGCATGGAAAACTAAAATAAAGTTATACTAACCAAGTTGGATATGAATGATAATTTATTCATTTTAATTTGATTTATTGATCTTGTAATATACTAATATATACCATATAATACATATTGTTAAACACTGATAAATCAATTATATTTTATTAATTTTATATATATTTTTTTTTTTTACAGAGGATCATGAAGCGTTAGTGGGTCAATTCCTTTATTTCCTGAAAACATTGTTTCGTCATGAAAAGATGTTTGTAATTCACAATATTTTGTTTTTATACTGTATATTAAATATTTGTGAACATAATTTGTGTTTCCCTTGTTCATTTTAGTACATAGAGTTTATATATTTATTTAATGTTTCTAAGAATGAATTTTAGCAAAATTTATAATAATGTAATTGGTATGTAAAATATAAAATACTTTATTATGAACAATAAAATTTCAAAAGAATAACAATTTCCATTCAAATTTGTCTTACAAATTGTAAATATTATCAGCTAGACCATATAACACACATCACCTTACAACTTTCAGTTGTTTTACTAATTTAATCACGAAGATCCAAATATTGATGTTCCGATTATGTACACAGGGCGGTTTTTATATTTCTTTGATACATCAAATTCAATCTGAAATAAATATATTCAGAATAATACATTAATTTATTATTATAGTAGACTATAATGTGATAGTACAAAAATGTTTGGAAAATAATATGATTTAAAAATTAAAAATACTTCGGTTATTAGTTGCTTGTTTTTTTGTTGTATTAACTTCAGCTTTGGAACCAGTTGATTGTATTCTTCGATTAATTCTTTTTTTTTGTTAGAAACAGCTATTTGAGAATTAATCATTTTCTCAATATTGCTGACTTTTTGAAGAAACATTGACTCCAGTTTATTTAAATATCTGATGGCATTGAAGCAAATGAAAATAAATAATAATTCAAATCAAATATAAAGAGTAGTATTCTACAGCACTATTGTCAGAAATTTGCTACCTAAGGCATTACATATTATATTTAATTTCATTATCAAATTTATTGATGGTTGAGGTAAGATCAATTTTGATACGGCTAATTTTATGCTAGAATAATTACAAAATATAAAAATGTCATATTAATTGCAGAAAATAAATAATGATGTTACGAGGATTATTATTTAAAAAATTTAACCACTTGTCGCTCTCCACTACTTGTCATCTCTGACAGTATATTGAATTTACCTTGGTGAATGTTTAATTTGCTGCAAATGTTGGACAACTGGATCATTAAGCTTTTGTTTGACTACTTTTATAATATCCAACATGGACGCTATCTCAGGTTTAGATTCATTGATTTCTCCACCAGAATGGACTGATAATGCAGAGTTTGTTTCATTTGATAATTCGAGCAAGCGCATACTTAAAAATGATTCTAACTATAACAAGATGGTGACAATATAATTCTATTACATGATAAAAATCTAACAGTTTATGGTTATCTCACTTCTAAAATATCATTCATAAATTCATTTCTTGTCTGAAAATTATCTAATAAAGTCAAAGCCTCATTGCCTCTGGCAACACTACCATCAGTTTGTAGATTTTCAACTACTATTCCACTTTCTTCTAAAGAAATACCATAATCAATGTCCTAATTAAACAAACAATTAATATTATTGTTAAAAAGTGAAAACAAAATTAGTTTAGGCAAATTATATACTTCAGATGGATTCTCCAAGTCACCCCAGTCGATTTCTTCATCGGCACTGGTATCCTATAAATTAAATACTCTTTAAATTATATATTTTTACTTGTTATGAATATATCCAAGCTCAAAATTACATACCTTAACATCATCTTCGATTGTTAGTACTGGCTCTTCTATTTTACTTGGTTTTTCCCCATATAGATATTCGTAATAGGTAGTATTGCCATTATCTGAAAGTTCATACTATTTTAAATACCATAATCAAATAATTGAATGAAAAAAAACAATAATTACTCAAAATATATTGAAGCATCGTTAAATTAACATCTGAACCTAAAATATTTGCTACAAATAAAGAAAAATATGTATTGGCTTTTTTTAAACTTTTTATATGTTCCATAACATCGTCATAAACTTTTTGAAGTTCACATAACCGTCCTATAAGTGTGCGTTTAAAACTGATGTTGTCATCAACTATGGAGAACTGTTTCCGCATCATTTCCAAATCTTTTTTACATGTTTGAATAGATTTAGTGTAATCTTCAATCTTTTTATCGCAATCCTAAACAGAACCTATTATTAGCTTGTTACTTATAAGCATTAAAATAGCTATCCTAATTAATCTATCATAGATAATTCTAATAACTTACAGTTTGTCCTGACTGTAATTTAGCTATTTGTTTCTTGACCGAGGGAATATGATACTTGATGTTTTGTACAAGAAGATCACAAGCTTCAGCAAGGTAAACATTGTCTTTTAAGTACAGCTTTTCGATTTCTAACCAATCCTTCATCCTCTGCGAGCCATATGAGCCAAACAAATTTTTCGTATCTGCTTCGGTTTCTCTTAATATTTCAATTATACGTTTACAATAGAAATAATTGATATCTAAACACAAATTTAACAGAATATAAATAAATACCAATAGATTTACAATAATTTCAGTTTAAATACTCACATGCTCCCGACAACAATTGTACAATCTCACTGTGTTCAGGCATATCTTGTATAGCTGCATTGATTTTCTGTCTTATGGGTTGTATGTGTGTATGCCAATCTTTTTTACAGTGTTTTCTGCTTGTCAACCATTCACTTAGTTTTTGAGCATGTATTTCAATTGGAATGGAACTTTCCTAATTGTACATAAAATGAGTACGTAATAAATTTGAAGTTTAGTAGGTAGGTTTCAAAAATTTGTCCAGCCTGTGGTATTTATAATTCAAAAATTAGTACACTCACCATATTTTCAGAAACAACAATAGTATATAATTATTTAAGGTGTGTAAGCCAAAATGAAAGGAGTATGGAGTAAGGAATATTCAGGACAATTTTTGATAACGTTTCAAACTCTCAAAGCAGAGACTGTCATCTGTGCACCACTAACTGTTACATTCACATTCACGTCCTGCAATCCTGTGGTGACTTGTCAGCAGTCAGCATGAACTGTTATCTAAGTTCGTGCTTAAATGTTGTGAGTAAGTTGTCGGCATAAGATATCTTATCAATAGAAACTTGCTGATTGCAATCGAGTTTTGTTTTATACCAACATAAAAACTTATTACCACGGTTGAGGGTTCACAGTACACCAGTAATCAGTATCATCATAGACATAATAAGATCTTCTTATTATGTCTATGAGTATCATTGACCTATAAACTAAGTAAAATAAGCTAAAATATAAACTTAGTTTATACTTTTATAGGTCAATGACCAGTATGTTCAATTATATTGTTCTATGATTATATGCACACACAAATATTTAAACATACATGTATGTTTTAATGTTTATATATCTGTGGTGTATCGTGTATACACAGCGATTTGTTAATACAAGGTAATCACCATATTTATTGTAACGATTTAATTCTAAAAATTTAAATCTGTAAGGGGGATTCACACGTGCACCGTGTCGTGTCCTGTTGTATCTAGTTTTTATGAACGCTTCGTGCATTTTTCATGAATTATACCAAAATGCAATACCAATGATACCAAAATTATTATCATTTATATAAATATTGGTTAGGTTGAGTGATGACCATGACCATGATGACGTCGGTGGCACTTAAACGAAATTTATACAATTATGATGTTCATGAATATAATAAAGAAATGCACCAAAGGAAAATTTACATTATTTCATTAGTAATAAATCTTGTTTTAGAAAATTTATATGAAAAAAAAAGAAAAAGTAATTAATGAAGGTTAAAAAGTATTAACTGGAGTTTTCCATTCTTTAAAACTAAATCAGTGAAATATTAATTAGGTACTCACAATTCAAAAATGTTTGTAATTGCCACTGATCAATCAATATAAATAATTTGTAAAAATAATCCAAGTACAATAATGAATAAACTATACATCTAATATTACATTATTATGCTTTATATTTTTGTCAACTATATTATTTTAAGGATTGTTTTATTTAGTATAAACAGTGTTGAACCCAGACAAATATAATATTATCTAGATAAAGATAAATTATAATGTTATCCACATAAAGATAGAGATAAATAAATTATAAATATTTATTTATCTAGATAAAGATGAAAAAAAAATTATTTTATCTAGATAAATCATCGGATAAAATATACAATTGTATAGATAAAGATTGATATAAGATTGTATTAGATCAATAGACTATAGTACACCATATATTTCAGTTTACTAGACATTCAAAATATTTTTAAGATTTTCAACCTAACCTAACCTACCCGGCTACGCATAAGTAAATATAACTAGAAACTAGATTCTTAAAAATAGTTGGGGAAATTCTTTCTAAGGTTTTATCATCATGTTTACAAAATTCAATATGTAAAATATTTTTTTTAATTTTGGAATGGGTATTGTTTTTAATTTTAAAAAGCAAAAATGTCCCCAAACCTTTCACACTGTAAGTCTGTAAATACTAAATAGGTATATTAACATACTAGCTAGCTGACCCGGCAATGTTTCGCTATTGCGAAATTTCTTATATATTAATTTAGTATTTATTTTTTGGATGTTAAATAATTATTTTTATTTTAGACCACTTTTAGTTACGTATCTGTGGTAATGTAGCCATATAAATGTAGCGTCTCCACCCCGGATTCTTTATAATGTTCAAAAAAAATTATATCGCTTACGATATCGAAAAGCTGCCGGCAACGTGGTAAACCTGACCCTGTACTTTTAAAGTAGCTTTACTTTCGCCTAGGCATTTTCGAAAATGAGAGTAGTACGTTAGTATAAGACTTCGATCAAATGTACAATCAATTGCGGTTTCAAATGATTAAACCAACCAACAATCAACAATTAATAAATAACAATCAAAATCGTCTCCAGACAACCATACCCACCGCACAAAATGTATATACAGGCTTACAATTTATAAATTTATTTTAATTAATAATAACTTATTACTTATTAACTTTATAGAACTAAATGTATGCCTTAAAAACCTTATCTGTGATGTCCTCTTTAATTTAAAAAAATGCATGACCATCCAATAAGAAGTTTCGGAGTTAATCGCCCGAACAAAAAAAAGCGACTTCAGTTTATATAGTAGTATAGATATAGATATAGATATTATACTATACTATTATTATCGTACCCCGAGCTAGGTAAATACTCTATA